TATTCTCTTCTACAATGAATTTTATTATAGACAGCACAACAACAAAGAAACAAGCTCATTGATACAAAACAAAGGTAAGGTGTACAATTCTGTTAGTGAAGGACATGAATCGCACTTAAATATTGACACGGAGAGAAGCAGAGTACAAAAACACAATCTCAAAAGGGATGGAATGAGACCCTGTAAATTGCGTTAACAGCAAATAGTAACCAATGGGCTGATGGGCATAGACCAAGGATAGTCACCAAAGTCGCATACAGATGATAGGAAAAGCTGAGCATAAAATCTTACTGGGCGCACATTGGAACTCTACACCAAGGACTTCCGAGAAAGTCCGACCGGTGTATAAGACATTACAGGCACAATTCTCTAGGAGTATCGCAATCAGTGAATATAACATAAAAACTGACAGAAACAAAAAAAAAAGAAAGGGAAAGAAAAGAGAAAAGCGGGGAAAGAAGAAACAAGAATAGTAAAGACAAAGAAAGGGCTCCAGGGGATCGTACCAGGAGAATCTTATATCGACAGGAGAGTCTGGTCAAATCTAGACGGTTGAGCCACATCAATCCAGGGACGTCAGATCTGCAGAAACTTAGTGTGGGTGTCTAACAGCATAGCCGTTAGCTTCTCATTAACCATTATAAAATTCATCTGCATGTGATTTATTCTCAATAATGTAATTAATTCTCATTTCAATATCCTCCATAATTTCTAACTTAAAAAAGATATTACATCTCAATCATTTTCCTTTTGCAAACTACATATACTTCATATTTTGTCAATTTTAAAACACCCCATTATTTGCTAAAACTGGTATCACTTAAATCCACCCTGAACTTCTGTACTCATATGTTTCACACATCTTCTTACTCCTTACATTCTCTTCTCTGGTAGTCCGTTCAGCAGCTGCAAACTCCATGGAAAATTTGGTTGCAAATTTGGTTGAAAAATCTGATTTTTACATTCACAGTTCTCTCCTATCTGTCTCCATGCCCAGGTTACAGTTTCAAGTAAATCCTCTGCTCTGTACTCTCTCTTACATTCCAGTAATTTCAGTTTTCTCGCCTACATTCCAGTTATTTCCGTTTTCTCTCCTACATTCCAGTAATTTCCGTTTTCTCTCCTACATTCCAGTAATTTCCGTTTTCTCTCCTACATTTCAGTAATTTCCTTATTCTTATATCTAATTATGTAAAGTTGAATGTTAAAAAAAAGTAATGACAATTTTCTAGGCCAACTGACAAGGGATTGTCAAACATATGGTATGGAGGCTAGGCACTATCCAGTAGAACATGTATCAAAGCTAATACTTTAAAAAATGTTAAGCAAGCTTAATAATGATTTAAAAGCAACATTAAAAATACAAAATTCCTATAAACAACATGCCTGAGGGGTGCCCTTAACTTGCCTCTGAGATTTAAACTGCCAGTATCATGACATCATCTTATGCTTTACTTATGTTTGTAAACAAACACACTTATAGTAGATGAGGGTCTGATATAGATTCTAATAGGGACCGCCAGTGTGAGGTTCACCCTAAATAGACTTACAAACATACGCTTCCACACAAAAAAAACGAGAAAAGGTGTGGGGTTCCCAACAAAATCCCTACCAGACTCTCATCTGAGCATGCAGCCTGACAGACCAAGAAAGGTAAGGGACACGTGTGTGCTTCCCCTTCTGAACCAGGCCACATGCCTTCAACAGAGAACCCCTAGCAAAGCATCTTGTTCTGATGTTGGTGAGGACAAGGGCCTTTACATCACAGCCTCGGCCCAGTTGTTTGGGTCTGCAGACAAGTAGCTTATTGGAATCTGAAAGCCCCCTTTAACAATAAGGTGACCAACAGATACTTTCCCCTCCTGTAAATAATTAAGAGGTACATAGTACCTATATTCAATATCAGAAAAAAAATTCAAAAATTACTTCACTCTCAGGGAATTTTCCTGTCCCAAATGCTAAAGTAAACTAAGGAACATGGTCCCCTGGAAGACGTTATTGACCAAATATATCCAACAGCTGAATGGGCTGATTCGTAACAGCTTGTCTAAGAAAAAGATGTCACATTTAGAAGTGGTGGTAATACCATTGTTAATTGTATCACTTCGCTCTGCCCTCTGTTGGAGGGCCGACACCAATTTAGCTTGGCCATTTGCTAAACCCCTGAACAAGCAAAACCTAGGCCTGGACTGAAACAATAGCTTATCCCTACTGTGCGGAACAAATCTACCTGCCTTTACCCCAGTTTTAATAGAGCTGCCACATTTGTATCAACATGCACTACATTCATATTAAATATTGCCTATTTTAACAGCTCAAATGCAAATATTTGAATTTGATTTGGTGGCGGAACAGTGCTGCAAAGGCACCATTAATTCTGCTTATAGTGTACTTTTATCATGTAAAGCAGAACTACAGATAATAATATTAAGTATAATATTAATAATAAATAATTATCCAATAAAATAAAAAAGTAGCTCTTTTTTCACTATACTCCCTTTTTATTTAGAGCTGTTTATCACAACACTTCTTTCTGTCACTGGAAGCCTCCAGCTGAGGAAAGTGGAAAGATAGCACATTTACCCCTAGGTTTATTTTGCTGGTATTGTTAACTTAAGGTATTAATAATGGTGTAAATGATCTGGTTCCTGGGCAGGCGGCTTTTACACTCTAAAGGATCTCCACAGTCTCCTTGGCTTGTAGTGTGATTTAAAAAGAGCTGAAATTGAAGCGCTACACTGCTTAGCAGTGGTGTGGTGATTCTTTTTTGTCCCACTCTTTTTACATCACACTAGTTTCCAGACTTTTGGGCTGAACATGGGTCAGCAGCATTCAACCCACTTGCTCTGAACATATGCTGTATTGGGCCCATCCGCATCCTGTGCCTAGGGATTGCAGGAGAACCATCCCAGTGAGCTTATCTCTCTGCCTGTTGCTCAGGAACTGCAAGAGGCCAATTCAAAGTTTATTTCAGGATGATAATGCTGCTTGCATTAAACACTCAAAATACAATTAATGATGTATTAATGATTGGATACCGGCATAATATGTCTTTTGTATCTGCCTAGAATTCAGCTTTAGAGCTACTTCCAGTAAGCATGTGAGTGTGCATGCCCAGTACTGGAAAAATGAAGTGAATACAGCTTCGTCTTATATACTAAACTTAGGCAGGCCATAGACGGGTCATTTATCAGCCGAATTTTTGGCCAATAAATGAAAAATCGGTTTTCCAGCATGACCGATAAAAGTAACTGAGGAGATCCGCGAAAAACAGCCAACGGTATTGCCCCACTAACGGCGTGAATATCGGCCGATTTTTTTCTGAGGACGAAAATTCAGCCAATAAACGACCCGTCTATGGCCTGCATTAGTAAGAATTAGCTGTGCTACTCATTTAGTAATTCAGCCCCATCAAATCTATGTTGATTTGTTTTACTATACATTGTTAATAGGTTTACAATGTATGTTTAGTTACAAGCTAATTAAAGGATATCTTTGAAATGGCTGCCAAAGAAAGTGAGAAAGCAGAGCTGCTACTATAATCTGTCATGCCTGTGCCACTAAAATGCATTTGACATATATATACTGTGCTAACAATTGTTCTACTTAACCTTGTCACTTTTCCTGTTTGCACCTATAACTATTCTATGGCAGTTTTAGCCTTATGAACGGTATTCTGTATAAAAATAACATCCCCATTGCTGAAATCATTTATTCTTATGATCTTTTCTTTGGTGTTTATTAAACTAGAATCCAAATCTTGCTATTTTTTCCTGGCTTTTTTCATTACTACATTGCAAGCTATTGTTAAAAAAAGGGGAATGGGTAGCCATAGGGGACATGACCCAATGCAAAAAAAAAATACTGTTCAGCAGGGAAAGGGCCTATCATGCTGCTTAAAGGGCAACATTGAAATTACACAAATTCTTTAAAAAACATGCTTTATAGGGAGAATATAGGGATTTCTTAAAGCTGTGTGAGAAACTATGGAAAAGTATAATGTAATATTTAAAAGTAAAGTGACAAAAATATTATTATTATTAAGAATAATAAATTATAATTATTGCATTAATGTATTATTTATTTATTTGAGGTTGTTGTTATTGTTATTATTAATAATAATAATAATAACAATTTAAAGAAAACAAACACCTAAACCCAAACAAAAATTATAATAATTAAAAAAATACAAAAATAAATACAAATAATCATAAATAATACTTGTGCTAATAAATTAATACTAATCAACCCATACCCTTGACCTCCTAAAACCTAAACAATTTAAAAACAACAACAACCAACCAACCAACCAACCAAAACCAAACAACAAAAACAAACCAAACAGCAAGGACAACAACAACCAAATAAACCAACAACAACCAACCAAACAAACAAACAAACAAACAAAAACCAACAACAACCAAACAAACAAACCAACAACAAAAAAACAAACAAGCAAGCAAACAACAAGAACAACAGCAACCCTAACCCTTTTTTAAGGTTAGGGGTTAATTATTATTTATTTTACATTTATTTATTCATATATAATTACAATTTTTTAAAAAACATATTTTCATTTGAGCAGAAATCGCGCAAAACGCACAAAAAGTGCGCCAATTGCGCGTTTCTATTATTTTCTATGAGGTGTGAATAGGGACTTAGAGGAGTCTGTGTGTTTTTTTTTTCTTTTTTTTAGCCACTTCAAGTCCGGACACTTTCACCCCCTTCCAGTCCAGGCCAATTTTCAGCTTTCAGTGCTATCACACTTTGAATGACAATTCCCCGGTCACGTAACACTATACCCACATGAATTTTTTAGCATTTTTTTGAGACAGATAAAACTTTATTTTGGTGGTATTTATTCACCATAGTGACACTGTACTACTGGGAGGTGATGAAGACTTTTTTTTTTTAACTGATTGCTTTTATACCCATAAAGGCTGTAAAAGCAATCATTTCTCCTTCTCTCTGGCTGCATTCTTGCAGCCATTGAGAAATACTGTGAGAGCTGTGATTGGTCACAGCTTCTCACATGGTACAAGGCTCTGTACCATGTGATCTCTGTGATCATTCACAGATTTCACACGTAGTAAACAATGATGTCAGAAGTGACACCTTGCTTACTACTATTCATGTGATCACTGATTGGCCAATCAGTGATCACATGATCGGGACCTCACACAGAGTCCCGTACAGTGATCGGTGTTCCGGATTACAGTGCTGCGTGCTCCCAGGGAGCATGCACAGCTTGAAAATGCGGGTGCCGTTTTATGAACGGCAACCCAATCCTGCACTGCTCCTGTCCAGCCATTTATGTACATGGGCTGGACAGGAAGTGGTTAAAGAAGCCAGAAATAAAATGTTATTTGCCAGAAAGTTATTATTATTATTATACAGGATTTATATTGCGCCAAAAGTTTGCACAGCGCTTTACAATATAAAGGGAGACAGTACAGTTACAATACAATAAAATATAAGAGGACTAAGAGGTCCCTGCTCATAAGAGCTTACAATCTAATAGGGTGGCGCATGTGAGACAAAGGGTTAGAACTGTGGAGGATGAGCTGGTGGAAATGATAAAAGTTTAGATGGAGGCGTTATAGACTTCTCTGAAGAGATGAGTTTTCAGGAATCACCTAAAGGCATCCAGAGTAGGAGATAGAGTAGTGGGACAAATTGAGGCAGAGAGTTATATAAGATGGAAGAGGCTCTGGAGAAGTCCTGGAGGTCAGCATGGGAGGAGGACAAAGGGGAGCTTGAGAGCAGAAGGCCTTCAGAGGAGTAGAGAGGACGGTTTGGGTGATATTTGGAGACAAGATTAGTGATATAGCTTGAGGCAGAGTTGTGAATGACCTTGTATACTGCTGTTAGTATTTTTAATTTAATTTGCAATCAGAAGTCAGTGGAAGGATTAGCAGGGAGGGGTGGCAGACACTGAGCCATTGGTAAGGTAGTTGAATCTGGCAGCAGCATTCATGATAGACTGAAGATGGGATGGCCTATGAAGAGGTAGGCCTATGAGAAAAGAGTTGCAATAGTCAAGGCAAGAGATATGTTTAAACACATTTCCCTTTCTAATTGTAAGTGCTATTGTAGCACTTTCTATACATCACAGAGATGCACCCTTTCAAATTCAGAACTAGGGCACCCTTAGGAATGCTATTTAAAGGAGCAATTTTAATGTTTTAGGCATTTAAAAAATCACTGATCCTGGCTAAATGTAATTATTTTTTTTTAACCAGTGGTAAATGTTGCCAAGGACATTGTCCATCTCCTGTGCTATTTTTGACATCCCTTGCCTATTAGCCCAGAAAATGGGCATTTTTCATTTTAAAGATTTTTCTCTCAATGATTTCAGTGGGGTTGGGCATCTGAACTTCTTCAAAGTTCTCTTTCACACATCACTTGAACTGAACCCAGATCAGTTTGGCTCATCTATCTATCTATCTATCTATCTATCTATCTATCTATCTATCTATCTATAGATCCTACATATAGTTTTTGACCAAAGCTACTCATTATTAATGGTGTCCCAGTCTGCCACACTCTCTGAATATGTAGAATATTCACATACTCTTTAGTGTAGGGATCAAGAGTAACCCATAGCACATATCAATGATAGTTCAACACATAATGATCTAAGTAAAGTAAATTCCTGGTAGCTAGTATGGATTACTGTATTTTATATATTAGCAGTGCTATTTGTGCTGCATCAAATAAAGGGATTATTATCATTCCTTTACATATAATTAATGAAACAGCTGCAGGACATATTGTACCGTTCAATTTGCAAGTTGATTTATACAGGCACCTTGGTAACTGGGAGTATAGCACTTTAACGCAATTATCTAACTCATAAAATGCTATTACCAATCTTTTATAAACTGGACAGGATCATGGGGAATGTATTATTCTAAATATGCAAAAATAGCACACAGCTGTATTTATATTTAGGCATTTGCATGCTACAAAATATACTTCCATGTCACCTAGCTACTTGCCACTGAAAACACATAAATATAAGCAAATAGAGATTGGGAAAGATAAATAACAATACTGTATGTGAAAAGTGATAATGTACTCTATTTACTACAAGCCAATAAAGCAGCTTGTAAAAAGAGCCTGCACCTTTAATGGCTTACTTTCTCTGTGGCAGACTGCACTCCCAGCTACTGATCTAAAGATGCAGTGACACAAAAAGCTTAGAGATAATTAAATATTGATTTTTGTTTTCTAATCCTATATAAAAATTGTCCTGGGTGTCCCAATGGTAGTTTTCATCTCTAGGACATGGTGAACGATATTAACCCTGCTTTGTTTCAAGTTGCTGTGGAGCAAATAAATGGGCTCATTCAGAATAAAAAGTAACAGTTTTAGAAACTTTTTTTCTTTTATCTTGTAAAAGACATGTCCCATCTGCAAGGTGATTTTATTTAACTCTTTGTCAGAGATTCAACAAAAACCTTTCTGTAATATGTGATCGTACATGCTCCTAGGAGTTTGTTTTATTCATTGTATCTGCCAAAATGTAACAAGGGGGTCTCTTGTCATGTTTTATGCAATGTATCTAAAAAATATACAATACTTTAGTCACTGGTTCTGTTTTCTAAGGACAAGAACATTATATCATATGTGTATGAGATTATCTTGCAGCACTTACCTGGGTGTGATATACTGTATATCACAAGTTGTATGGAACGACTACATTCATTATTATATGGTCTTTTGCTCTTTTATAGTTTATGATTGGTTGATAGTTTTTCTTTTTCTGATTAATACACATAGAACACCAGATTACAGACATTGGTTATTATTCACAGATATAGAACACCAGAGTACAGACATTGGCTATTATTCACAGATAAATTATTGGAGATGGCACAGCTTTTACTCTTTTACAATTATACCATATGTAATTGTACTCTCATTTGTACATGTCAAATCATTTATCTGTAGATGTGTTTTATACTGTTTAAGTGCATTTGTGCATTCAGTTACATAAAAGTGAATTGCCTAGTACAGATCCAGGTCTGCCTCTAGATATCCAAAAATTTGATTGGTCAAGATAATGGATACAATCTGTTATAATTCTTCATGATCATAGTAATCATTAACCTTTAGAGTGAAGTGAGATTGTAAGCTTCTGCAAGCATTGTGTGACAATTAAAAAATTCTGTTTTTAGTAGAGGCTTGCTGACAAGTGCTTTATTGTCTTGCCTGACCTTCAACGCTTCATGCCAAAACATTATCTGTCATCCCACTTGTGTAATAATATATAAGTGGATCCAATTTAAAAAAAATATTTTTTTTTTTCAAAAAAGGCATTGCTGTTTTTAATTTTAAAGTCACAAGGGTTGATATGCTATATAGGCTTTTCACTTTGCAAGCGAATCAGAACTTAGTTAATGTGGTGCAATTTCACTTTGCAAAGAATACCCTAACACATGCATGGAAAATAAAAATAAATAAATAACATTTGCTTGCACAGGTTTAGCAAGCTCTTGAGAAAATTAATTAGCAAAATGTAACTTGCATTAGAAAGTGAACACTCAATTGGCCTTTAGTGACCCAAGACGGGCTAAAGCTTTTGATGATGGTGTTCTTACTTATGTGTTACAACTGTAAAATAAGTGACTTGATCTGTATGAATTTAGGTCAATCACCAAGATAAGATTTTCTGGTTTCATAATTTGGCATGCATTTAGATGCAATAGGGTTGATTTACTAAAGGCAAAACAACTGATCACTTTGCAAGGGAATTTTTCCCCAGAGCTTAGTGAATGTGGTGATGTCTGCTGACTTCCATCATCCAATTATGCGCAAGCAAGTATACTTTTTTTAAATTTTCCTTACATGTGATTGATTGTTCTTTGCAAAGTGAGATTTCAGCACATTCACTAAGCTCTGGGGAAAATTCCCTTGCAAAGTAAACTATCTATTTGCATTTAGTAAATCAACCTCATTGGGGTTGATTTTTCTAAAGAAGTTGAGGCCATTCACTTAACATAGTGAATATTCAATTTACAGAGTGAATGTTAGTAAATAAAATGTACCAGTGTTCACAGTGGAGTTGATTTAATAAAGCAGTAGAGGCTGTTCACTTATGTTACAAAGTGAACATTAGTGAATAAGATGAAGCTGTGTTCACTTTGAAAACCCAATCATGTGCAAAGGTAAGAAAAGAAAACAGGGTTTTTACTAGCACATGATTGGGTATACACAACAAACACAACTTCTTATTCAATAACATTCTCTTTCTAGATGAACAGACTCTCTTGTTTTAGTAAATCTCCACCCTTGAATGCTCAATCACATATAAGGAAGATGAAAAGAAAAGCCTAGTATTTTTACTAAAATATGATTGGCTGTAGAAAAAAACATAGCTTTGCCTTATTTACTAAGCTCAGTAAACGTACAAAGTGAATATTCAAAGCAGAGTTTAAACAGAATTATTAGTTTTATCTCCTATGTTAGTTATCTTTGTTGAAAATAAATATGTCTTATTTGTGTTATTTATATGTTGACCTCTTTTATGATGATTATCACTAATGTCCTATGATCTTTTCCTATCATCATTTTCTTTTAATTTCTTCTTTTTTTGTTCCTTTTCTCTCATTAATGTTCCAAAGTGATCTGCACACTGCACTGACCGACCCAACTAAATTAAGTCATATGGCATGTTTACCATGTTTAAATTCAGGACAACACAAAGAAAGTTTTTATATAGATAATAATGTTTTCTCTGCATTCTTTTTCATTGTCCTGTACAGCAACAGCTTTCCTTCTGCAGATTCACCACCATTGCCGCTGACTCACTCCAATTTCAAAAGACCAGTGTACGATCCTAATATACAAAGTACAGTATGTCCATGATTGTATATGTACATAGCCACTGTATTAGGCATGCATGTTTGCTGGGTTGATGGTAAAACGGTGTCATGCATCTGAAAGTGAATAAAGAGGTTAGCACAAAATGTGTTAGCTGTGTATGCGGTATCCCCTTGTTGCGATGATGTTTTTTGACAGCTCTCCTGCTGCCCTATAGCAGAAATACTGCTACAGGGTGGCAGGGCTGCGCAAAATCACGTATATATACATGATTTTGCATTTCATTGGTGGCCTCAGCTATCGATCACTGGGTCCCAGCCGATTGCCAAGTATCACTGACAGGGGAGAGACCTGTATGTAAACTCCTCTGTATTGCTTTGCATAGTAGAGCAATACAAAGAAATGTGCTGGCACAGTGAAACACACACACAGCACACAGTAAAATAGCACACAGTTAACCCTTTGATCACCCCAGAAGTTAACCCCTTCTTGGCTAGTGCCATTAGTACAGTGTC